ATCTGGGCTTAGCCCTTGAGGGACCATACAGGTAGCAACTATACATCATTTTAAAAATAGGAGTACCCCAGGGTGCTGGTGGTTCACACCTGTAATCCTAGCTACTTGAAAGGCTGATATTTGAGGATTGTAGTTCAAAGCCAGCCCAGGCAGAAAAGTTTCCGTGGGACTCTTACCTCCAGTTAACTACTTAAAAACTGGAAGTGGAGCTGTAGCTCAAAATGGTAGAGCACTAGCCTTGAGCAAAAGAGCTCAGGGACAGTGCCCAGGCCCAGAGTTCAAGCTCCATGACTGAAAAGAAAATTCAGTTTTGAACCTGAAACACAAATGGTGCTTTACAAAACCATGTCCTTCTATTTACTATCATTTCCTATGTCAAAATATACAGTCAGTCCTGCAGGTTTGGGCTGCATTGGGAACCACATGTTTTCCAAGTCACTTCACCACAAGAAGTTCTTAAACTGGGAAATTTTAACTTTCAGCTCATTCCTCTCTTGTGAAATTAAGGGGAACATAAAGAGAGAAATGAATCAGACCTTTGAGTGCTGCACTTCCAACCTGCCTTATTGTACTTTGTGAATGCAAACAAGGCAAAATGTTTCCAGTTCAGCTGGGCTTTCTTTGAATAATAGCAACAAGGCCATTGTTCCTGGAACCTGTCAACTGAATTCAGGAGGCTGAGATCTGAGGATTGTGGTTCAAAGCCTGAGCAGGAAAGTCTGAGAGACTCTCATCTCTAATTAAATACCAGAAAAGTGGGAAATGGCTCAAGTGGTAGAGAGCCATCCTTGAGTCCAGCAGCTAAGGGACAGGGCCAAGGCCCTGAGGATCTGCACAAAACAAACAAACAAAAAGACTTTGTGGATCTTGTGGGTCGATCTTGTGGTGTGCTGATCAGGTGTTATGTACAATGCCATGTTGATCACACAGATTTGAAAGGTCACTTTTATTTCATTGAAAGGCTCCTTGACAACATTTACATGAAGATACTTTTACCCGCTGTTCCTTAGGATAGGAAAGTCCTCATAGCCCTCTGTCCTATGACTTTCCATTTATCTTTCAGGATCCACAGCAATGTCTTTCCATGTTCCACATTTGGGATCGTGTACTTACTGTCATAACCCATCATCGAATGTACTTATAACAGGCTAGCTATCCAAGCACATCTGGCCCACTGGTACCTTTAATACCCAGTGACAACTATCAATTCCTTCCATATCATCCTCAGATTATGGGATGTAATCATCCCAGAACAGATATTATTTGGGCACAGGTAAAATTAGTCCTGGGGGGCAGAATACCATTACGCCCTCTGCTGGTAAGCACGATACTCTCGCTGAAAGCTCCAGTGCTGAGGCCAGAACCCAGGCATAAAGCTGGAACATCTTTTATATGAGGGATGCTCTGAGAGATGGTGGCTAGTATTTCTAAGGCACTAAGGATGTGCAGCCATTTCACTTACAAAAAGTACCTAGCTTTCCTAATTTTCAGACTGCTATGAAGTGCAGAGCTGGGGTTAGGACCCACATGTGTGGAGCTGCTTGAGTCAAGATGCAACTTGGCTCAATAGGGAGCACTGAGCATTGGAGCAGGTGACACGCCTAAATTCCCAAAACACATAAATGTATCTGTAATACACACTTTCCTGTGAATGCTCTACTTTTTTGAATGAGGCCCAATATAGTGGGCAAACAAGTGAGTTTATTTTAAATTCTAGTTGAAGTTTTTAGGAATTTCATAATACATATACAAAAATCTGTGTTCCCATTGCCTTGATGTCATAGACAATTCTGTTTTGAATGTTCTCCAAAGCAAGGCTAACCATATAGTTGGACAACAGAAGCTAAGTAAAACCAGCTTATGGAAGCAAATCCAATTATAAGTTCTTAAGCTTGTGATTGAGAGTCACTTTAATTACCTACATATCTTCTAAAAAGTGTGAACAGGTTGTAACAAATGGATTCTTAAAAGTTCCTACTATGTATTCTTGCTCATTTCCAATGTCAAATTATGGTTGATCTGTTCTGGGCTGTTAGTTGAACTAATAATATATATGGAATCAATTAGCTAGAGGTCATTGTTTTTGCCATCAATAACTGAAATTAGCAGTATCCCTCCTAAATCAGTCTTTGAATAGCAGGAGGATGATTAACTCTGTATTTGTTGTAAAATGTGGATGAGGGAAGGATTTAAGATCAAGAAGATACAATTCTTGTTCCTTATGAAACTCCAGTTATCATGAGATGGTTAGTACATTCTTTGGTTAAGGAGAACAGCATCTCTGCATTTTAGGAGTTATTTCAAGTTTTCCCATGTGAGAAAACAGGTTCAGGGCTGTGACTTGTCCTTGTTTAAGTCAGGTCAGCCTGGCTCTTAGTTTTCCTGCTATTTTCATTCTACCATGCTTCTTTCCCAACTGTTTCTTATTTGGTAAGGAAATAAGAAGATGTAGGAAAGAGGTGCATGAAGATTAGGAATGCAAAAGTCAATTTGGCCGGGCACCAGTGGCTCATGCCTGTAATCAGAGTTACACAGGAGGCTGAAATCTGATGATCCCAGTTTGAAGCCAGCTCGAGCAACTCTATGAGACTCTTATCTCTAGTTAGAAAAGCTAGAAGTGGAGCTGTGGCTCCAGTGGTAGTATATCACCCTTGAGTGTAAAAGCTAAGTGACAGTACCCAGGCCAAGTACTGGCACATACACCAAAAGCAACTTCCTTCACTTTGAGATTGAAACTTCATGAAGCACTAATAGTACTGCGCCAGGTTTCATGAATCTATATATAAAGCACTTGGGTTATATTTTCTGTCCCCTTTACTGTCTCCTAAGTGGGGAATGGCATAAGAAAGAGTAATAATGGGGATTCTTGGGTACTGGTGACACACATCTGTAATCCTAGCTACTCAGGAGGCCGAATCTGAGGATTATAGTTCAAAGTCAGCACAGGTAGGAAAATTCATGAGATTCTTATCTCCAATTAAGCATTGAAAAATTGCCCAAAGTGGAGCTATAGCTCAAGTGCACTAGCCTTGAGCCACAAAACTCAGGAAAGGTTCCTAAGCTCTGAGTTCAAACCCAAGTACCAGAACAACAACAAAATCCCCCTGCCCCCCAACAACAGCAAAACAAAAAAAGAGGCAGTGAATTTGATCAAAGCACCTTCATGTATGGAAATACCACAAAGAAACTCATTTGTACAATGAATATAAACTAACAAAGATAAAACACTTTTTACTTTTTAAATAAAAAAATTTAATAACATCTTTTTAAATAAAAGAGATAGAACGTGCCAGATAGAAGAAAGCAGAAAAGAAGCCAAGCAGGTATCATAGGAAGTGGCAGGAGATGAGAGTGAAAGCAGAGGTCGGAGGCTTTTACACAAAGTGCAAGACTGCCCTGGAACAACACATAGCCAGATGGCTGATTTAGGAAAAGAAGCCAATAGACAGTGAAAAACGGAGAGAAGATACCAGCACAGAAGTTTCTCAGTATAGTTTTTTTTTTTTTTTTTTGTCGGTCGTGGGGCTTGAACTCTGGGCCTGGGTGCTGTCCCTCAGCTCTTCAGCTCAAGGCGAGCGCTCTACCATTTCAGTTACAGTGCCACTTCCGGTTTTCTGGTGGTTTATTGGAGATAGGAGTCTCACGGTCTTTCCTGCCCGGGCTGGCTTTGAACCACGATCCTCAGATCTCAGCCTCCTGAGTAGCTAGGATTACAGGCGTGAGCCACCAGCGCCCGGCTCAGTATAGTTTTTTAATTAGGAAAAAAATTGATGAAAGAAAGCAGATTAAAAATGTGAAGATGGATGGAATAGATCAACCTACTGAGTAAGAAAACAGAAAAGCAAGAACAAGTTGACATTTTTAGAGTCCTTCCTATATACTAGTTAGGCCCAGCCGAATCCTTGCCACCTCATGAGAAAGACTGTGTGTAAAATTTTTATTATTACAACTTCACATAGGGAAATAATGTGTGTGGAAGGTTCAATAATAGCTGGCAAACTATAGAGAATGTGAGCACAGGTATCTGAACTGAGTTATTCATCATATAGCTTATTAGATGAGTTAGAAGGTTTTTAAAAAAATATTAGCTAAGGTCAAAATGGGAAAAAGATATAAAAATAACGAGGAAGAGTTATTAAGATTGATTCAACCCATTTTAAGTTTAAGTTTTCTATAGAATATTCAGCTACAAGTAGCTGGTTATGTAACTGAAAAGAAAGATAAAAAGGAACTGTAAATAAACAAGTTATTGCTACTAGTTGAAAGCAAGAGATCACATAAGATTGCTCTGCAGGGAGAGAAAATCAAAACCATGACAGTGATCGGTGAGTGCCATAAAGACTAGCCTTGAAAATAAGTAAACAAGCACAAACATACCATCTTCAAAAGCACAGATCCCATAAACACAAGTAGTCAATTTCTGATTCTGTCTCTTGTGAGTTTGTTCTAGTGTGAGAATTTCTGGCCTGGCTCCTCAAAATTACTGCTTTATTAACATGTAAAAAGTAGCTTCCCTGAAACAATAGCTCTAGAGAACCTAGACTTTCTAGTAAGCTAATGTTATTAATGTTCACATATTTGTCAAATATCTTCACATATTCATGTCTGAAATTCTTCTGAGTATGTTTGCAACACAGAACATGATGATATCAAAATTAGAAGTAAAATGGGTTGCTTATTCCAAGCTTTGCTCCTATTCTTCTTGGTCCCTTTCCATCATCTTGCTGCAATTTAACTTTGCTAGCTGTGGTGCAGAGAAAATCCAAGATTACAGCTGCCACAGCTGTGACATAGTATACAGAATTCAGTAGAGGGGCACAATGTACCATTGCACTGCTGGCATTTAAAGTACCATTGTTGGGGTGGAGAGGAGAGGTCTCAATGAGCAAAGAGGTGGCCATTTAGCAAGTATTCTTTGCCAACTTACACACAATGGAAAGAATACCACCAGTAACAGTCAACACAGAGAGTCATTCACAAGGACAGAGAAACTCAAGGCATAGCTGGTTCAATCCCCTTTATCACTTTCACCCATATATGATGCATCCTGCCGGGGAGACAACCCATCTGGAGATTTGGCAAGGTAGACATAGGCTTGAGAAGAAAACTTTCTTACACAGACTCAACATTCCTATATCAAATCCTCCCACAAAGCAAAACTGAGAAGTGGCCAAGGAAGAACTTAAAGACTAGTAAGTAACACAGATACTGGTGATTCTGCTCTATTTTATAAAACATTTACATTTCTCTTTTTGGTCATCGTAAGGTCTATTGGCACAAACAGCACAGCCACAGAGTATTCTTTTGATTTTAATAGCTCATTTATATATATCTTTATATATATATATCTTTATATTTTTTTCTTATCTTCATTTCCTCAGCAAAAAGGGGAAATAAAAAATATTGATCTATAAAATAAGCGGATGATAACACAATGCCAAAAATAGCTTATGTTAAGTTCAAGGGTGAAGCTTGAAAGCAAGCTGAATTGCAACAACATATTGATTTAACATTTAAATACAAGACTTGCAATAAAATAATTCTTGAGATATGCTTCTTACTTTTAGTTTACTTTTTCAAAACTACTCTATATACACATATCCAGTTGTAACACTTGACAGTAGCATTATGGGGGGGGGGATGAAATAACTTTGGTACACACTGCAGGTATGGATAATGTCTATAAATGATACTCCTTGACCAATTAGCATTCTGTACAGCCAGGTGACCAGCCACCTGGTCCCAAGTGGGTGCCCATCAAAATCCCTAGAGGCCTTCTTAGAGCTGTCAGGGATGGCAGAGAAAGCAGGCTCACTGGATCCATATCGTGTTTCCTCTCTCGGTTCTCCTAGGTTCCACTGTCAGCTCTCCAAATGTGGAAAAAAACTGCTCCATTTCCTTCTGGAGCATGTCATTCCTTTTCTCAGCATCTTCTTTTGCTCGCTCAGCATTTCGCATTTTGATTTCTATCATCGTGAACTTTTTCCTTTCTTGATCCAGTTCATCATGCAGGCTCATCATTTCTGTTTCCAAAGTCAAATTGCGCTGTTCTAAGCTGCAAAAGATGGGAGTGGGTAAGAGATAAAATGATTTATATTAATTGAAAACATTGAGGACACTAATATTTTCCTAATGTTTGCAATGCTTAAGAATCTAGAATGAACTATTTCAAAGCATTGAAGCAGAGTCTAATAACCGAAAAGGTTTTCTTTTGTAGTATGAAGTTACTTTTTGTGAACACAACTTACTGGCATTTTTAGGTAAAAGTCTCTCAGATACTTCTTGTGTTTAGTTGTTAATAGAGAATGGAAGAAGTTCAGCAGAGAGATACAGAGACTCCAGTCATGCAGCACAGACAGGGCAGAAACTTCCCCAGCCTTGGAAAGCTTCCAGGATGTTAAATGTAAACTTAGTTTAATGAAATTACAATGGAGAAAATCTAATAAAGTTTGAAGTATCAAAGGAAAAACACTGACAGCAACAATGTCATTGCTAGGTTTAGTCCATTTCTAAGAATGGACTTTCTTGGAGTTTCACCTTATATAAAAGTACCAACAGGAGCTAGCTTACATCAGCAATAGAAATAAAAGTATTACAAGTATTAAACAAGCACTGCATTTAAGCATTTATAAACATGGGATCATCCCTGCCAACACCAATTCTCACTGCTTTCCAAGCTGTTAATATCTTGTTAGGATGTCAAGATTTTATAACTTTATAATTTGATAGCTGAATTCTTTTGGGTAACTGTAGAATTTAAGAAAACTTTTTAAAAAAAGAATGTAATTTTCTTCATAACCAGTAAGGTCAAAGACTTATAAACACACGCACACACTCACATACGCACATACATATACATGTAGTACAAAGAGTATTATCTTTATAATGTCTATTGTAAGATATTTAATTTGGTAAGGTCTGACTTTTCCAGTTTCTCCTCCTTTGAACCTGGGCTCATTCAAGTTTATTCAACTACTGGCATTTGAAAGGCTAATGTAGGTGTAGCTCTCTGAAATGTAACTACTTTCCTGACAATTTGAAAAGTCAAAATCTCAATTATTTTTCCATTTTAGAAAAAATTATTCTTTTTCTACCCTTCTTTGTAGCCAACTACAATGAAAACAAGCAATGACTTCTTATTCTTTAAGCGCTGAGACGATTATTTTAACCACCTAGTCACAGCGCCATATAAAAACCTGGTACTCCTCTGATTGCTGCCCAGAGTTATTAAACTCTTCACTCTCTAAAGCCATTTGGAACAAAAAGTGATGAAAGGAGCCAAAAGTTAAATATTCAAAAATATAACACATCAATGCATTAACACAACTGTATGTACTTGCTATTTGCCTCAAACTCTGGGAATCTAAAAGCTGGGGATGTAAACAGAAGTAATATGCAAGAGACGCATCTCATAGTCCAAGATAAAAACTAACTCCAGGTGAAGGGATGGAAAAAGATTGTCCACTCAAATGCACCCTGCAAGAAGGCAGGAATAGCCATATTGATATCTGATAAAATAGACTTTTCATTAAAATCAGTATGAAGAGACAGGGAAGGTCATTACATAGTAATAAAGGGAGTGATCCATGAAGAGGAAATCACAGTGGTCAATATGCACCAAACAATGGCACACCTAAATATTTTAAACTTAAAAACTTAAAGAACATGATAGATGGAAACACAATGAGAGGGGGAGATTTCAGTATCCAGCTCTCACCAAAGAACAGGTCAACCAAACAAGATAAGCAAAGACGCCTCTAAACTAAATGACACCATAACCCAAATGGACTAGTCACTTACAGAGAATTCCACTCAACAACCACCCAATTCACATTCTTCTCAGCAGCCCATGGAACATTCTCCAAAATAGATCATATCATAGTTCACACAAAGAATCTAAGCAAAAGCAAGAGGCATAATCCCTTGCATCCTATCTGACCACAGTGGAATCAAACTAGTCCTCAACAACCAAACATCCTGCAGAAATCACTCAAATACATGGAGAATGAGCAACACACTACTGAGTAACACCTGTGTAAAAGAAGAAATTCAGGAAAAAAACTAAAAAGCTCTTACAATTCAATGAAAATGAAAACATCACAACAAAACCTCTGGGATACAGCAAAAACAGTGTTGAGGGGAAAATCATAGGCCTAAGAGCATATATAAAGAAAACAGTTAACAACATAATACAATTAGAATTTCTAGAAAAACAAGAAAAAATTAAATCTAAAACTACTAGACAAAAATAGCAAAGATTAGGGCAGAAATAAATGAAATAGAAACAAAAAAAGCTATACATAAAATCAATGAAACAAAGGCTGTTTTTTGATTAAAAAATTAATAAAATTGATAGACCACATGGGAGATAAATGAAAAAAAGAGAGAAAATTCAAATAAGAAAATAACAATGAACTTTACAATTTGGGGGGGAGAGTGTAGTTGTGGAGGTGGGAGGTAAGAGATGGTAGGGGAAAAACAAAGGAGGAGGCAATAATGCTTGATAAGAAATGTACTCATGACCTTGCTCATGTAACTGTAACCCCTCTGTACAGTATTTTCACAATAAAAAACTTATAAAAATATTGGGAATGTACTGAATAAATGTCATTGAATTGAAAAAAAAAAGATCAGAGACGCCACAGGAAACAGCAAATCCAAGAAATCCAAATGGTTATAAAGTACTATTTTCAAAACCTATCCTCAGTAAAAGAGGAAAACCTAGAAATAGATGAATTTTAAGAAACATACAAACTGCCTAAACTAAACCAAGAAGATATAAACCAAAACAAAAAAAATAATATGCAATGAGATAGAAGAAGTGATAAGAAGTCTTTCAACAAGGAAGAGTCCAGGCCTAAATAGATTCACCACTGAATTTTGAAATAGAGGCAGAGGGAACAATTCCAAACTCATATTATGAAGCCAATATCCCATTTATCCAAAAAAATCAGATAAGGATCCAACAAAAAAAGAGAACTACAGACCAATTTTTCTGATGTACACAGATGCAAAGTTTCTTCATAAAATAATAGCCAACAGAATCCAGAAACAACAAAATATCATATATTCTGAGCAAATAGGATTCATCCCACAGATGCAAGGCTGGTTTAACATATGCAAATTAACAAATGTAATTCACCACATCAATAGAGCCAAGAACAAGAACCACATGATCATCTCAACAGATACAGAAAAAGCCTTCAACAAAATACAACATCCACTCAACTTAAAAGCTTTGGAGAAGTCGGGTGCCGGTGGCTCACATTGTAATCCTAGGTACTCAGGAGGTTGAGATCTGAGGATTATAGTTCAAAGCCAGCCTAGGCAGGAAAGTCCATGAGACTCCTATCTCCAATAAACCATTAGAAAACCTGAAGTGGCGCTGTGGCTCAAGCGGTGGAATGTTCACCTTGAGCTCAAGAGTTTAGGGACAACACCCAAGCCTAGAGTTTAAGCCCCATGACCTAAAACACACACACACACACACACACACACACACACACACACACACAAAGCTTTGGAGAAACTAGGAATAGAAGGAACATTCCTTAAAACAATAAAGACTATGTATGATAGACCAACAGCCAACATCATGCTAAATGGGGAAAAACTAAAACTATTCCCACTAAAATCAGGAACAAGGCAAGGATGCCCACTGTCTCCAGTCCTCCTCAATATAGTTCTGGAATTCTGAGCCAGAAGGATAAGGCAAGAAAAGGACATTATTAAAGCAAAGGACGAAATTAACTATCCCTGTTCTCAGATGACATAATCTTAAACTTAATGGACCCCAAAACTCCATCCCCAAACTCCTAGAGCTGATCAACCACTTTGGTAGAGTAGCAGCATACAAAATTAACCCACAAAAATCAGTAACTTTTCTGTATGCCAACAATACACAAATAGAAAGGCAAATCATAAAAACAACCTCATTTGCAATAGCTTTATAAAAATAAAATACCTAGGAATTAACCTAACCAAAGATAACAAAAAAGATCTTTTATAGTGAAAACTATTAAAATATAAAGAAACCAAAGGGGACACCAGGAAATAAAAAAAACAAAACCTTTCATGTTCATGGATAGGTAGAATCAATATTGTGAAAATGGCCACTGACAAAAATGATATACAAATTCAGTGAAATCCCCATCAAAATCTCAATGACATTATTTACTAATATAGGGGGAAAATCCAAAAATTCATATGGAACAACAAAAGACCTAAAATAGCCAAAGCAATCCGAGGCAAAAAAAAAAAAAAAAAAAGCAATGCAGGTAGTATCAGAACACAGACTTCAAATTCTACTACAGAACCAGAATAACAAAACAGCTTGGTATTGGCACAAAAATAGACCTGAAAATCAGTGGAACAGATTAGAAGACCCAGAAATAAAACCACGTGTGTACAGTCATCTAATATTTGACAAAGGAGCCAAAGACATGCAGTGGAAAAATCATAGCATCTTCAACAATTGGTGTTGAGAAAACTGTGCAACCATATGCAGAAAACTAAAAGTGGATCTTTGCTTAACACCATGCACCAACATTTAAGTGGATCAAAGATCTCAACATCAGACCCAAAACTCTGTAAGAGAGAGTAGGAGAGAGAGAACTTACAGATACAGGATATGTGGATGGATATGACAAATTAGTGAGATAGGACAAATTACATAGAATTCTAGATACCTACAAACAGTGAGACCAAAAGAGGATAGTCTTAGGAGAGCATCACAAAGGTGCAATACTCAAGCACCTCTTCATATGTATGCAAAATACTATATATTCTGAAACAAAGTGGAAACAAAGGACTTTTGTCTCCATTTGTTTTTTTTTCTTTTTTGATGATTCTATATTCTTTACCTGATATACAATATTCATGAGCACATTTATGAGAGGGGAAAATGGAGAAAAAGCGCAGCAGTGGAGCGCACTGGCTGCATTGGTCACTGATGAAAATGAACTATGCAACTCATGGGTGGAAGGGGAGGGAGGGAATGGGAAAGAATGAGGGAACAGAGAACACTATGTGAAAGGAAATGTACTAAATACCTGTTGTACATAAAGCTAACACCACCCCTCCTGTAGATCACCTCTAAAACAACAATAAAGTTATTTTTTAAAACAACAACAACTAGAAAAGACCCCACAAGGCCTGATGTCACCTTAAACCTGTCTCCTCTGTGAACTTAAATGAATGTTTAGGGCCTTAATTTTTTTACTCTTTGTCCTTTCTTTGCTGTTGAAAATGAGCAGACTCCTTATTTTCCATTCATCTCACAGCTCCTCTCCTTTCAGCTCTCTAGTAAAGACCCACATATTGAAAAGTAATTGATGATAACATTAGTGTGTACTGGAGTTTGAACTCAGGGCCTTGTGTCCTTACTTATCTTTTTCTCTCAAGTCTATAGTCTATCCCTTGAGTTACAGATCCACATCTGGCTTTTTGATGGCTAATTGGAGATAAGAGTCTCATGGACTTTTCTGTCTAAGCTAGCTTCAAACCAGGATCCTTAGATCTCAGTCTCCAGATTAGCTAGGATTACCGGTGTAAGCCACCTGTACCACGTGACAATAATATTCTTGAGTACCTATCCTGTGGCAAGGCCAAGATTATATACTTTTAAGGTACACACAACTTGTATTAAATTTTTTAAAAATCCCCTTAGGAAGAAGCAAGGCTCACAGACATTATGCTATCTTTAAAAAGCCCAGTTTCATAGCTCACAAACAGTAAACTGAGGACTTCAACTCAGGTCTCTCTGACCTTGGACTAAGCATGTTTAACCCTTTGTGAGATTCTGTCCCACCGTAGGAGGCTGCTGCCTGTTAGGAGCCCAAGATTTTCCTCACCTCTTTATCCTGGACTCATACTCTATCTTCTGTTTGGTCATTTCTTGTTTCAGGCTGGAAACTAAACTGTGCAATGCACTGTGATTGCTCGTGTTGTTAGCCACAAATGTCTCACTGTTGTCACTGCTGCTGGTGGCACGGCTACTTCGACCTCCCACACTCCTATGGTCACTTTTGTTTTCATAGTCCCCGGGGTGAGAAAGGTCGTCCTGGGGAGGCCCATCTAACACAGGATCCTCGAAATTCCCCCCATAAAAGTCTTGCTCAGGGCAGGTGGTGGTGGAGGAGCGACAGGAGTTGGAATTCTCAGGGAGGGAGATTTCACAGGAGGAGGTGGACCAGGTGGCGCTGTCCACACTCTGTTTGTCATCCAGGTTCACCATGGAGAATTGCTGGTGGACGTTATCGTACGTGGACAGTCTATGGTGCTGGCCCGACTCCCCACCTTGCTCTTTCTGCTTATTCTCCCGCAAGGTGACATAGCCATTGGGTAGCCAGCTCATGGTACGACCATTCACGGGGTTTCCAAGCGTGTCAGTGTTCAAAATACCCATGCGCACTGTCCCATTCTGGACACTGTGGGTGCCCATTTTGGTACCAGATCCTTTCAGCGAAGAGCTCCTTCTGGCCTGTAAGCTCCCATTCGGGGTGGTTTGTGCTTTCTCCAGACCTTCTGCATTACTGCTGCTGAAAGACCCGTTGGTGACGATTCCGCTACCCTTATTGAAGGCTGGGTTCTTTTTCACCATGAGAGGGGGGCTCCTGGAGACATCTAACTTGTGGACGCTGTTCCTTGGGCTGTTGGTTTTGCTGCCTGACAAAGCTGTGGGGGATCCTTCATCCACACTGCCTCTCTGGGGAGACTCAGACTTGTCCCAAGAGCACTGCCTGCCAGGGCTATCTTTAGTGTTGTTGTTCTCCTTGTTCTGCATCTGATTCATGGTGGCTTTCTTTTGAATTTCATTATTGTTACTTATTCCATCCTGGGGCTTGCTTTGAAGCTCTGAATCCTTAGGAAAAAGGCAATCATGTTTACTAATCATCACTGACATCAATTGCTGCACCACCACAGTACCTGGAATTACAAAGGAAATAAAGTAGTGTGAATGAGATGGTTTTCATTATTGCTGTTTTTGAATTTAGGAGAAATTCACCGTTACTATGAAGAGTGCTAAACTCTATTCCTAATAATTCTAATGGTAATAACTAAATTTTCTTGAGCATTGGCTCTATGCCATGAATTGTTCCAAGAATTTTATTTGTGTAGTTTTAGTTGGAGTTTTAAAAGGAATACATGAATAAATGCTGCTATTATCACCATATTTTATTGGCTATGTAACTTGGCTATGACCATCAAGTTACTAAAGATCAGATTTTGGACTTAAAGTCAGACTAATCTAATTTTATAGATTGGGCTTTTAATCATTACACAACCTTTCTTGCAAGTGTGACATTTGATTATGGGAACACTTTCTTGATCTTTTATCCAACAACTGCCTCAAAGCATCACTATTACTACAGTTGTATCTTCAAATAGGACCCTACGTAATCATAGTAGCTACATGGCATGTCTTTCTAGGTAAGCATGATAAACTTTTGTTTGCTATTCTAAAGCCTTGGGACTTTGTAAGTGTCATGGACTGAAAGAGTATCAAATAAAGATCTCAAAAAAATCTAGAATCAAACCTTTTAGAATCATATCAGAATAAAAACTTTGAAGAATTCTGGACATGAAATGATTGAAGCAATCTGGAGAATATTTATCCAAGCAAATAGGCTGATTCTCAATAAGAACCACACACTTTGTGGTGTTTAAAATTGCTGTATGCCCAACTTTCCCTCTCAGTCTTTATAGCTTGAAAAGCAACAGCTCATAGACACATTGAAACTAGCAGGTTGACAGCTACTGCAATAGGCAGATCAGGACTGGGACCCTTTCAAAGCCCTATTCTAGAGAATGGTCATTATTTCACCACTCTTGTAGTTCCTTGGAAATCTTTACTTACAGGCTAGTCTTTATTTGGTCTGATGAGGAACTTACCATGACTGAATAACCATTTTTCTAGGGGCAAGAGCAAAAGATATTTTCTTGAATGTCTCAGCTGCTTGGCCAATTGATCATAATTGAGACAACCAAGTGAGAAAAAAGCTTAAAAACAAAATCTGGAGAACAGGATTTCCATAGGGGGATTTAAATGATGCTCTGAAGGCTTCAGGTCCACTTGGAAAATATGTATTTTCAGGAAAGAATTGAAAAGTCCCTACATTTTCTTTTTTTTTTATTGTGAAAATACTGTAGTCCCTACATTTTCAATTTGGACTGACCTTAAAGGTTGATAGTAAGTTACAAACTGCCTGGCTGAATCTTGACTTGGCTCAACATGCACATAGAACCCTCTGGTTGATTCAGAGAAACTTATTGACCCTAAGAATTTAACAAAATTTCCATTTTATCATCAGCTATCATCAGGAAACTAAGCAGAGATGTAAATGGTCATACATAACCGAAAAGATAGACTTTACAGAATTAGACATGAAACACCAACACATAGAAACAATAGTGAACCCCAATGATAGGAGAACTTGATATCCAGGGATCTCACATATTATTATAAAGCACAATTTTCAACAAAAAATTAGGAGACATACAAAGGATGGTTCACACTTAGGAAAGAAGAAAAAGAACTATCTCTAAGGGACTATAGACATGGTATTGAATGGATAAAGGCTTCTAATCAGCTATTTAATGTGTCCGTAAAACTAAAGGAAACCAATCTAGGGAATCAAAAGAAAGTGAGAATAATGTCTTTCAAAATAAGAAATATAATGAAAAATATACAAAACATAAATAAGAATCAAATATATGGTCTAGAGTTGAAAGTACAAAAATGGAGATGAAAAAGAGTACAGGGCACCCATGAGGATATTTAAATAGGCAGAAGATAGAATCAGGATACTTCAGATATGACATTGATACTCTTGAGTCTGAAAACAAACAAAAAGAATAAAGAAAAATGAATGGCACCTCAGAAACCTGTGAAACATAGGTATAAAACCAAGATGTGTGTGTGTGTGTGTGTGTGTGTGTGTGTGTGTGTGTGTGGTGTTCCCAAAGGAGAAAAGAAAGAGCAGTGAATAGAAAAAAAAATTCAAGAAACAATGACTGAAAACTTCTCCCCAACTCTTTTCCCCCAAATATACACAAACATATCCAGAAAATTCAACAAATTCCAGGCACAGTACACTTGAAGATCCACATCTCACACATAATAGTTAAATTGTTTTATGAGGAAAACAGAAACTCGACAGAATCAAGAGAAATAATTCCTATATAAGAGACCCTCGTTAACATGAGCAGCTGATAGCTCATTGGAAGCCACTGAAACTAGAAAGAAATGCAAAGGAAGTTTCAAAATTTCAAATAGAAAGGAGAAATGAAGGCAATTCTCAAGTACACGCATCCATATACAAGAGGATTTGTCACTGCCAAGCCAGTTCTAAAAGCACTATAAAAGGTTCAGAAAATCGTAATGAAAAAGAAGCCCTTTAAGGAAAAAAAAAAAGAATTCTCTTAAACAGAAGATACTACCATGCTATGGTTCTAGTTGATCCTCATATTTTTACTTCTCATTATAAAGTCATGATTTAAAAAGTCATGTCTTAATTGGAGATGATTATAAAGTCATCATTTAAAAAGTGATATCTTAATTGGAGACAATAAAAATAATTTAGAAAAAGTTAATCTTTTATTTAGAACAATCATTTAGCTGGGCAATGGTGGCTCACGCCTGTAATCCTACCTTCTCAGACCTGAGGATCTGAGGATCACAGTTCAAAGCCAGCCCGGGCAGGAAAGTCCGTGAGACTCTGATCTCCAATAAGCCACCAGAAAACCTGAAGTGGCCCTGTGGCTCAAGTGGTAGAACACTACTTTTGAGCCGAATAGCTGAGGAAATAGCATCCAAGCCCCACAACTAACAAACAAACAAACAAAAACCCTCAAAAGAGTCATTAAAAAAATCAGCTGAGGTTTCTCTTTCATGTAGAACCTGGGCTGCTGTCTTCTAAACCTACCTGGGACAATTCATGTTCTAGACTAGTTTCCAAAGTTGGGTGTTCCCAAACCTCTGAGCCTCTTAGCATTGATTCAGTCATGCATCCACAGTAAACAGAGTGGTGAACTGCACACACCCCGTGTTGCTTTACCTTGAACTGAATCAGTTTGCTGTGTGTTCATATCATGTTGACAAGAACTCTTAAGGGTAGTCTCTGATACATAAACACAAGGAAATTTCTTAAGTTTTAGTTAGTGAATATGGTCTGTGTATAACACACCTGAAATATCAGGTTGGTAAAGGGATTCTTGACAGTGCGGGTACCCAGCTGCTGGGGCTGTCAGATCTGTTGCCTGACCTAGAGTAAAGTTTTAGCATACAGTCATACTCCAGCAGGAGAGTTCAAATTCAAATAGTAAAGAGGAAAAATATGAAGTCATCCATATCTCACATGAGCTTTCTGTGTTGAGTATCTTCAGTGTGTCAGAGCTGCTCCTAAACCAATGTTGTGCAAATTTGAATGATAACACAAATTACTTGAGAGCTTATTAAAAGGCAAATTCCAATTCAAGTGGGACGTGAGATGTTTATGTTTCTGCCAAGCTTCGATATTGGTTATGTCAGTAATAATACAGAAACTCTGGCATCTTCTGGGAGCATCACAATTTCAGTACCTGCCTCCAGACCTTTAGGTCAGAATTTGCAATTCCACAAAATCTCTAGATAATGCCTGTGTGTTAGTTTGAAAGATGCTGTGGTAGACTGGAGTATTTCACATGTATAGTTGCAAATTAAGTTTCTTAAATGTTTCTGAGATAGGGCACAACATTTTTTATATGAGAAAACTGAAGTTCAGAAAGGTTAACCTGTTTGCTCAAGGTCATAAATGGATAAGTAACCAAGGTAAAGTTTAATACTCAGCATTTTTTATTACAAATGATGCATTTTCCTTCTATACTCTAGCTGTTAGCATTTTCAACTATACCCACCAGTAAGTGGACTCAAGGCTATTCTAAATAGGAACTAAATAATAAAGCAACCATCTATTCAATCTCCAATTATCATAGTTACAGGGGAAAAAAGACAATGAAATGAGTTACATTATAGATCTATCTTTCAGCACTCTCTTAATTTTTCATCATATTTTCAATACAACGAATCTGAGGAAAAGGTTTTAGAGCTCTTAAAATGGTCATCTACACTGTTCTCAATGAAAGGCAGTCTTTTCTCATGTAACAGACACTTCTAAGGATGTGAAGTTTCCATTATATATGACTCTGTCCAGTATTTAGGAAAAATTATCCTTCTTCCCATCCATCCTGGAAAATTAACATCTAAGCATAGCTGCTTTCCATCACAGCTATTAACTTGGTGAGACATTTAAGTAATGGAGCAGTGACATTCCCAAAGTCTTCTTGATGAGTTTGTGAACAGTCTGACAAAGTGTTTCTGCCACAATTATGGAGTGAGTGCCAAGGCCCAAAAGATTTAGAACTCTCTTGTGTGCTAGGAAACTTCGCTTTCATCCAGTCTCTAGGGTGACAAATGGCAACAGTTCTCTGCAGAGGGATTTCATGGCCATTAAGGACAGACTAGGTTGGTACGAATAATGATGTGTGTGTACCAAAATGTGCACTATCCCTTTTTCCTCCTTTCTCTCTGTCATTTTCTCTCTTGGACTGTTAATGAAGACCATTAAACCCAAATAACGAGGTCAGCAAGGCTATAATCATTAGCCCATTATGCAGGGGCTGAGCAGATTCTGGGGCCCTTGTGGGCTACATAATCCCGAAATCCCCTCCTGGCTCATATCCTTTTGCACAGGTTGAATTAAAATGCCATAGGCACTGTTCTTTATGAGCATTGGCTACCAATTTTATTTACTTTTAAAGATAACTATGTGCTATTATGTAGAGGCAATATTCTATGCATTATATCTAATAATAAATGGACAGCATCTTATGAATATAAAATGAAGACATCTAATAAGTTTTGGTAAGTATATATAGTCTAGAAAGCCATCCAGTGAAGACGTCAGCATCCCTTTGTAGGTAACTTCTTATCTTTACTCCCTCTGCATGGAAACCATTAATGTAATTTCTTTGACTATAGTTGGCCTTTTCTAGAAGTTCATATAAATGTAATTATGTGGTGAGGTGTGTAATTTTTTGTGCTTATGCATTCTTCCCTTACCCTAATATTTTTTTGTTTTTATCTATATTATTGTGTCTATCAGTAGTTCAATAGTTTTCATTGTTTTACACAGTATAGATGTGCCCCCAATTTTTATTTATGCATTAGCTTAAAGCCATGTCTCTAGAATGTTTTATTTTCACTGTTATTTGAATGAGATTTCGCTTTTTGCCTGGACCATGATTCTTCTATTTATATTACTCCAGTAGCTGGGATGATGCATGTCCACTATTGCACAGGTTTTTATTGGTTGAAATGGAGCTTAACAAATTTTTCCCTCCCTTAGGCTGGCCTTTAACCTCAATCCTCCCAATCTTTGCTTCTTGTGTAATACTACAGGCATGAGCCACTGTCCCAGTTTGGTGTGAACATTTGGTTATAAATCCTGAGTGAACATATGTTTTCTTCCTCTCAGGTAAATATTTAAATGGTGTTCTGCTGGAAATAATCATCAGCCTATATTTCATAAAATGTGTCCAGTTTTTAAATGACTCTAACATTTTCTTTTCTACCAGGTAAACTTGGTGTTTTCAGTATAAATTCTGAGCAACACTCCCTGTGTCATTTGCAATTGGCTGTCTTGAATGATTGTCTCCTTCAAAAACCTTATCCATTTATTCCTTGGTCTGATGACCTTATGTTATATATACTTGAAAAAACTTATTTAGTTAAACATGCACCTTAAACATACATTCTCCATACTTCTGGCTCATTCTTCTTTTGATTGCAAGAATATTTTGAAAAAAAAGTCAACTTAATGAAGTCAAAACTATCAAACCTTTTTGAAATGATTTGACCTTTATAAAGTGCAAATTTTAAAAATAAGATATTTAAATAATTACTAAAGCAAAATTTCCATGTTTTTGCATTAGAATTCATAGCAGTTGACTGTAAACAGTATAGAAAAACCAAGAATGAGGAGTCAATTCATTTTAAACATCTACCAAAATGAGAAAAAAATACTATGAATTCATAAATACTTAAGTCTTATTTATCATGCAGGTTGTTAAAATTACAATAAAAACACGTGCTAGCATACTAAGCTTTATGTAGATTAAATTTACTCTTAATCAAACTAGCATAGTGTACCATATTATCATTGTGTGGCAAGTTATTTTAGCCCTCAGAATAATTTACTTGGATTAAAAAGCTTTATACATCAGTTGGGGCTAAATGATTAAGCAGTGTGAAGATAAATACAAATCTAATCTTGGAACTCAAAAAAAGAGAGCTAATGTCTACTGTTAAGTTGATTCCTACTTGGTTTCCCACAGCTACTCCCAAGATTTGCTAGTTCTATATTTCTAAAAGAAAAATTGTTATAACACTTTTGAGTTAATACTGATCAAATATTCCCGCATGCAGAATGGTGAATAAGACTTTAAGAATAATATGAGGTCTTTTGATATTTTCTTACCTTCTTCCTATGCTCTGATACAATTGCCAAATGTCTTATTCAGATACACTGTGGTTGCTCTTATTGTTAAAGACTACATGTATGGGCTGGGAAGGTGGCTCAGTGGTAGAGCGCTTGCCTTGCATGCCTGAGGCCCTGGGTTCGATTCCTCAGCACCACATAAGCAAAAAGGAAAAAAGTCAGAAGTGGCGCTGTGGCTCAAGTGGTAGAGCGCTAGCCTTGAGCTGAAGAGCCGAGGGACAGCGCCCAGGCCCAGAGTTCAGGCCCCATGACCGATCCCCCCCCCCAAAAAAAAGACTACATGTACATAATGTTTCCCTGAATGCAAATGCTGTTTAGAAGTAGGGAGAAGAATAGATCATGAGGATGGAATGAGCACTATTAGATTAATGCCTTTCTGAAGGGTGCTTCTGTGAGCTCCCTCACTTCCGTAATGTGAGGACACAGTGAGAAAACAGCTGCCAATGAAACAAAGAATGGGTCCTCAGAAGACACCCAAACTGTCTTGATAGTGGTCCCTCCAGCCTGGCGAAGTCTGAGAAATAACTTGCTGTTATTTATAAGACAACTAGTCTTTGATGTTCTGTAAGAGTGGCCCAAATATGCGAACACATGCTTCTTATCTGTGCCCTGGCAGAGTGATTATTTCAACATATTTTCATTTGTGAAGCTTTCCGTGACATCTAGGAGAAAGATCACCATACTTTTCTTTTTACTGCCACAGCCTTTGACACATTATGTACATAATACTGTAATTAAATGTTTACATGTTAAAGATTCCAACTAGACTATAAGTTTATTTTTTAGTCTACCTTGGTATTATTTAATTATTTTTAAATTTCATTTATTTTTACATTTTTCTTTAAGTCGTGGTACAAAGGGACTTCAACTCAACATGTCAATTTATGAGTGTAATGCATCTTGAGCAACATCCCCTCTTTCATCATTCTCTCCCACTCTCCCAACTCTAACGGGAAAACTTTATTTAATGTTTAGCATTTCCAGGCTCGTGGTAGAACAAGGTGCTTAATGAATATTTATTGAATGAAGCAATAGTTTAAAAGATATGTTTAAGATTAAATTCTGCTACCACCACCAATTATAGAATCTAGGAAATTTCTGATGTGTTAATTAGAAAAAAATAAATAGCTTCAAAGCGTAAAATATAATTAAAAACATTCAGAAGTCAGGTACCAGTGGCTCACCCTGTAATCCTAGCTACTCAGGAAACTAAGATCTGAGGATCACGGTTCAAAGCTAGCCAGGGTAGGAAAATCCATGAAAGTCTTAGCTCCAATTAACTACCAGAAAACCAGAAGTGGTTCTGCGGTAGAGCGCTAGCCTTGAGCTTAAAAGTTCAGGACAGCATCCAGGGCCAGAGTTCAAGCCCCACAACTGACAAAAAATAAAAAATAAAAACAACCAAAAATATGCAGAGGTGTTCCATTTGTTCACTGTGGAGATTAGGGAATCTATTTATGATATTATGTTTACTTGAAAGAATATGACTAACTCTCAAAAGGTAAGGTTTAGAGAATAAGCAAAATCAACAAATGGAGAAAAATCCTGGATTCATATGTTTGCTTAGATGAGAATAGAATCTAGCCAGCTAAGAGACAGTTGTTTCCTCGGTCAATGAGGGTGAAAGGTCATTATTCACTTACCCTCCATGATGGTCAGTGGATCTTCCACCTTGGGGCGTAAGATATTAGGACCGAAGACAGTTGCCAAGTTCTGTGCACTCATTTTGTTAATGCCTGAATAGGACTGTACTTCATCCAAGAACCTATTGGTTGTAACGATATGAGTGGAACACAGTGAGATTCAACTTCTCAGTGGAAGAAAACGTATCACTAGGAAATCTACAAACTGAATAGCATTGCATGTAAAACCATTTGGGAACTCCAATGGCTCTGTTTTAAATGCAAAGAAATTATGTTTTAAATTATGAAGATTCAAATTTTAAGGACTAAATCAGATATCTATTCTGGTTTGGTCTCTTTCATCTGTCATTAAAAGAACATGTCTGTTTGTGTAATGCTAAAGTGCACTAGATAGTTACATTGTACATTCACTTGTCTATATCTTAAGATACATGTGCATCCAAGATTTATGTGTTAAGTTTGGTGTAACTATTAGAATGTGATAGAACCTTTAGTAAGTGGAGCCTTGTGGGAGGATTTATTTGTTCATTCAATGGGGATGTGTTCTTGAAGGATCTGGGCTGGGATCTTTCATAACAGCCCATGATGTGAATCGTTTACCCATGTGATCCCACTGTGATACATGGCCTCACCATAGACTCAAAGTGACAGGGCCATTCAATTATGAAACAGACACAGAAACTCATCCAAAATGTACCTTTCCCCTCTTCATGTTGATTTTTACAAGTATTTTGTTACAGTAATAGGAAGCTGATTAACATAGTTTCCAATCCCTTAACAAAGTATTATAATTATATTATCATTATTTCAGTGAACCATATAAAAGACTATCTGGTGAAATATGGTTTTTAAAAATGTATTTAATTTTTGGTGGTACTAGGGGCCTCCCACGTGCTAAGCGCTTGAGCTATGCCTCCATTCCTTTCTGTTGTGGTTATTTTTGAGTTACACATTTGCTACTCAGGCTGGATTAGACTACAGTCCTATTTACACTCCTGCATTAGTTGGGATTACAGGAACACAAGAGCACACACAGCTTTCTATGTAGTGATGGCATCTTGTGATCTTTTTGCCTTATCTGGTTTCAACCCATTCTCCTCCCAATCTCAGTTAAGTAACTGGGATTAAAGGCATGAACCATGGTGTCTGGCTCTAAAATCTTATTATAAAAAGCAAGACTCACACTCTTTGTGGAGGGATTTATGAGATTCAAATTTATGGTCTATTAAAACATAGATCAAGTATTGTAGAAATAAAAACATCGGCCCTACTGATATGAAAATTTGTGAGCTCCAATTATTTCATTTCATTAGGTGCTAAAGAGTAAAAGACATGAAATTACTCTTTCCCCAGACAGAAGGAAATACTGTTGCAATCTTTCAGCCTTTTTGCATTTCCCATCTGCTCTTCATTTCTACAAAAATTCCTATTATTTCATGGTTTACTGATATATTAATGAGATAAAGTAGCAAATAATAAAAAATAAAATAACATGTTTACATTGCACTCATATAATTCAATCATGGTGCTAGGCTGATTGAATTCTCAAAATAGGTGTATGACATTGATACTACTATTACCTCCATTTCATCAAGGAAAGTCATACAGTGTCAGGTTTGCCAAAGGTGTAGATTAGATGGCAGACCTGAGATTTGAACCCAGGTAGTGTGACTCCAGAGTCTGTACTCGTATCTATAGAATTGTGATTTTATAAAGGTGCCTATTTTCATATGGTTAGCCTAATGCAAAACCTAAAGGCACAAATTCAAACCATCACTTCTTATTTGAAGTACTTTAACATAGAAAGTCGGCTTCAATATTTCAAGAGAAGTATTTCTTCTGTGGCAGATTAAAATCCTTCAATAATGTTCTTAAGCAATTTTTTTTCTTTTTTATTTCTCTTAAGAGACTGTAACCTTTCTCTCCTCACTACCATAACTTGAATTGATTCCAAAATCTTAGAATGGAAATCTTACACAAGTATTTGCACCAGTGAAACTATTCCTAAGAGTTTATTTTCTTTTAAACATAATAGTCATTAGAAAAAGTTACCGTGTTGGGCTGGGAAGGTTGCTCAGTGGTAGAGTGCTTGCCTTGCATGCCTGAGGCCCTGGGTTCGATTCCCCAGCACCACATAAGCAAAAAGAAAAAAGCCAGAATTGGCGCTATGGCTCAAGTGGTAGAGCGCTAGCCTTGAGCTGAAGAGCTGAGGGACAGCACCCAGGCCCAGAGTTCAGGCTCCACAACCGGACCCAAAAAATAAAAAAAATAAATAAAGAAAGAAAAAAAAGAAAAAGTTACCGTGGAAAGTTTTAGAATTCCTATACAATGACATTAACAATAAAATCCACAGTGTCTGTTTCTCAGCTTTGTGAACGATGTTTTCACTAGCATCTTGTCTATTAGGACCCTGAAATTCAGAAAGGGTAAGGACATTGCCTAGAGACACAGGGCAGTTGGTAATAGATACACCCTATACATATGTTTCTCACACCAACACAAACGTGTTCCTTTTCTTAACAATAAACCCAGCTGACAAGGTGCAAACGACTTTGATGGGAATTCAAAGCAATATATCTTTAATATGTGGAGGCAAGGAAGATCAAATAACAAAATCAAGCAATTTTAGTACTCAAAGAAATCTTTGAGATCACTCTGTCAAACCTCTACTACATAAACCTCTGTGTAGCAGAGACTACACAAACTCGGAGTGGTTCAACGAGTTTATTCATTGTTCAGCATAAATTGTTATTCAACAAAATACAGCCATGTCTTGCTGAATCTTGTCTTTTAGAAAGTTCTTACCTAAAAAAAAAAAAAGAAAGTTCTTACCTGCAAATATACTTGAGGAGGTTGTAATTAACCACTGGCAAACTCTTCACTTGCTTGGCTAATTCCATCACACCCTGAGTATGAAGAAGGAGAGAATAATTCTTACCATTCTATGCGTTAGCCTTGAAAATAAGAAAATGGAAAATAGCCATGTGGGTTTCATTCTTTCATTTTTCAGTTTTACATGTCAGCAGTGAAAGTTTCTGTCCTGTCAATGTTCCACTGTCACAGTGTGTGTTTTGGGAATACTTTTCAAAGATGTACAAGTATTTTAACTAAGCATAGTGACATGTTGCACAATGATGTTCTGTAACCGCTAGACTACATTTGTATTGGTTACAGATTCTATTATTTATTGGTGAAGCTATCCTAGTTTGTATCGGTATAACTATCCTAGTTATCTTGGTACAAAGATGAAACTGTCTAGCATTTCTGCCTTCACTTTACATAGCATATGCCTTCTGCTATAGAGCTGTGCTGTACTAGTGCTGTTGTACTAGATTTAAGTGAAACTCTTTTTTGCCATTTTAACATTGTTTTCTCAGTTGACTGAAATAGAACATAACTTCATTTGAAGTACTATCATTTGGATAAAAATGTTAGCCTTCACTGTAGTGAGAATCCTTCCAATTTTCAGCATGGCCCAAATAGACAGCTGGCATTGGCAAGTCCCTCTGGACTGGTCATGTCCATGATATATATACCATTTGGGGTTGGAAGACAGTTAGAAAGCTGATCTCCTTTGAAATTTCACAAGGGATTGATTTCTTTGGCTCTTCTCATTATAAACCTCTAACATGTAAATGGTCACAGAAAAGTTAATGGATAATGTAATCTGATTTTTTTCTTCTTGCTTTAAAGTAAATATTTTAGGCTTTTCAGGACATATGGTGTCTGTCACAATTATTCAGCTATTCAACAAGCCACTGACAATATTATATAACAGCAGAAAAAATGCACTTGTAAAAATATGTAGCAGTTTTTTATATGAATGCCAAAAATCTACAGCAGGGGAAAGGATAATATTTTCAACAAATGATGTTGAGACAACTGGATATCCACATGTAGAAAAATGAAGTTGGTTCTTTCCTCATGCTGTAAACAAGAATGAATCAGAAAAGGATCATGGAGGGGCTGGGAAGGTGGTTCAGTGGTAAAGTGCTTGCCTTGCATGCATGAGGCCCTAGGTTTGATTCCTCAGCACCATATAAGCAGAAAAAGCCAGAAGTGGCACTGTGGCTCAAGTGGTAGAGCTTCAGCTTGAGCTGAAGAGCTGAGGGACAGCGCCCAGGCCCAGAGTTCAGGCCCCATGACAGACCCAAAAAAAAGGATCATGGATCATGTGACAGCTAACACTATTAAGTATTTGAGTTTTATATGAATGAACTTTTAGGTCTTGAATTAAAGTGTTCTTAGTATGATACCAAATGTATAAGCAATTACAAATAGATAAATTAGATTTCATCAAGTGAAAACCTTTTGTTAAAATGTTTCAAATAGTGAGGCACTGGTGGTTTGTGCTCATAATCCTAGCTATTCAGGAGGCTGAGATCTGAGGATTGTGGTTTGAAGCCAGCCCAGGCAGAAAAATCCCCCAAGACCTTTAATCTCCATTTAATCACTCGAAAACTGGAAAAGGCACTATGGCAAAAAGAACTCAAGGACAACATCCAGACCCTGAGTTCAAGTCCCACAATCAACATCAATAACAACAAAAGTTTCAAATAAAATAGTTTTGCTAAAAGGTTTTTGGCAAAGGATATCATCAGGAAAATAAGTAAATAATCCATAAATGGAAGAAGATATTTGCAAATCATATATTTGACTTGAATCTAGGTTATGTAAACTCTTATAACAATAATAGTAAAATGCAGTCATCCTTTCACATTAACAGATTTAATCAACTACAAGTTGAAGATCTTAGAAAAACACTGCCACTATTCTAAACATAGAAATACTGTTTTCCTTGTCATTATTTCAAAAATAATACAGCACAACATTTGTATTGTTTTAGGTATACATAGCATTTGTATTGTTTTAGGTATAGCACATAATATAGAGATTATTTAAAACATATAGGAAGATATGCACATATATGTACATCTGGTGCTAATACTACACCATTTTCATAAGGGATGTGGACATTTACAAATAGGCATTTTCAGGGAGTTTTGGAACCAATCCCCAAGGTACTGAAATAATTTAATCCAGGTAAAAATTGCCCAGATATCCAAAGATAATACACAAATAGCAAATAAACATATGAAAATGCATCCAATCAGAAAATACTACTCAAACATCAGTGATATGACACATCACACACATCTACATGTCTACAATAAATGAGAAAAATAATAAATGATGACACAGATGTGGTCAACTTGAAACCTATACATACTGCAGGTAGAAATGTGAAATCACAGTGATCTTCAGGAAAGAATTCTACACAGCTCAGCAATTCAGAGAAAGAAAAGGCTATGTCCATGCATAATTTAGTACATAGAAGGTCATATCAGTATGTGATATTAAGGCACAGAATAGTGGGAAACTGTCCAAAAATCGGGCTAAGGAAATTTGCAAAGTAAGACTGAAAACACTGACAAATACCCCCAAACAAGAACTTGTTTGGAAATAAATGTATTCACTTACCAATTCTTCTTCTTTGCTGAGCAGTTTGGCACATGACAGAAAGTCTTCATACTTGGCGTAAGGAATAACTGGCTCTGGTAGTTCTCGGAGATAGAGTTTAAGAAGAGATGCCACGGTGTGTACGTCAGTGTTGCTGCAGCAACAGAAAGTGAAGACATTCTTTGGAGTCAACTTTATACTGTTTCATTCTTATTTTTCATCTAGGATATGTCTAAGAGTTAGAATCTCTATTCATATCAAGGTAACTGAATCAATCAATTGAATCTTCAGGGATCACACATTTCTATAATGCGTATTAAATGTCACTGCAGGTGGGATTAATTACGTGAATGGTCAAACTCTCTTCTCAGGTGTATAGTTGACTGTGAGAAAGAGTGGGAAACATCAATAATATATCAGATCTTAAAAATACCATATACAGGAAGTGGCACTGAGGCTCAAGAGGTAGAGCGCTTGCCTTGAGCTGATGAGCACAGGGACAGCGCTCAAGCTGAGTTCAAGTCCCATGATCGACCAAAAAAAAAAATATCATATACAAAAAAAATAGAATCTGTTTCTCTGTGTATATTCAATTTCAGAATTAACTACTTCTGGAACTTCACTTCATCTCAAAACATTAAACTCATTTTCAAGTATACTTTGGAGACTGCTTATAGATACTTGAAGCATAGCATGACACATAATAACTTTAAGCATAGCTTATTTTGAAAATAATTGACTCTCAGCATGATTGCTTGGTTAATATTCAAAAATAGTGGAAAAAATTTAAGAGTCTGCTAGAAAGAGAAGGGTAATGCTACGAAAATAAACAACGAAGATTTAACATGACCTTTACATAACGTGCATAATTTATTTTTACTCTCTACTGAATACCAGAGTGACAGGCTAATTTACCAAAACATAAATTTATCTTTTGTTCTTTATATAGCCTGTACCCTGCTACCATAAAGATAGGTAGCAGTAAAGACAAAACAGTGTTTTGGAGCAGGGGCTGGAGGGTTTCTGTATGTAGTTTGAAATTAATTCCTAGGAGCCAGGAGCAATGGAAAATGCACACATGTAGGTAGCTGGTGAGCAATGAGAACTTGCAGCTCACTCCTGGGCTGGACTGCAAGAGCAGAACTTTCCCCAGAAAGTCTGCCCTGAGAAGTTGGAATGCAGGCACTGAGATGCCCTGCCAAGGAAGATTTTCTTATCCCAATGGTGGAGGTAGTCTTCACAGAAGTGTATGATATAGCATCATATGCCTTTCAGTTCTACATTTTGGACTCCAAGTTGATTTTGTCAGGTATTAACTGCACACCTAGTTTATATTGGGTCTTCCTGGCAACCTAGCGGAAGCACTAGTACAATAACCAATAATATAATAAATAAACATTAAATCAATAACCAACAAACTAATAACAATCTAGGTATGGAGTTATAGAAGGTGGTTATAGAAGTTTGGGCCAAGATCTGGAGAGTGAGACTAGATGAACTGAGAGCAGGACAGGGCAATGATTCTTGTTTAAAGCAGAAGAGAGAAATGGAACCTAAAGAGGGAGGCAATCGGTTAAGAAATGGGAAAAGGCTGGGATGCTCAGGGACCAGAATGGGTCTCGGGGAGGTTGGAGCAGCAGGAAGCTTCTTTTTTTTTTCAAGTAAGGGGTAGGTTTATTCAGAGAGAGAGCTGGGAAAGAGAGGGGGAAGAGAGAGGAAAGAGCTAGAGCAGAGAGAAAGCAGAGAAAGCTAGAAAGGAGCATCAACAGAGAGCAGGGAGAGCTAGAAAAGAATAGAGAGAGCAGAGAGAAACAGAGAGAGAGAAAGTTAGAATAGAACAGAGATCGGAAGCTTCTTTGTAGACCACAGATCTTCACTATTGCAGGGGCCTCAGGACAGGCATATTTTAAATTACTCCCCCTTTTTCTGCCAGTCCTGGGGCTTGAACTCAGGGCCTGGGCACTGTCCCTGAGCTTCTTTTGCTCCAGGCTAGTGCTCTAACACTTGAGCCACAGCGCCATTTCTGTTTTATTGTTTGTTTGGTTGGTTGGTTATGTGGTCCTGAGGAATCGAGTTCAGGGCTTCATGCATGCTAGGCAAGCACTCTACCACTAAGCCACATTCCCAGCCCTTAACTTACTTTTAAAAATGATATTAAGATGATGACTTTGATCTCATGGGGCTTGTTGGATTAACTTACTTTTTCATAACTAATTATATTTTTCTTTTTGAAATTCGAAACTGATGGGCAGTATGAGAGATGTCATTTTAAAGATGAAGAACATAACATGTTTAGAATATATTGAAAATTGAAACCATGCTCATTAGTTCCCCCAAATGAGTTCCAATTTTATTGTGTTTTCCAGTACTCAGGCTTGAACTCAGGGTCTCTCATTCTCACTGGGCTTTTTCACTTAAGGTTGGCTCTCTACCCCTTGAGCTAAAGTTTCACATCTGGCTTTTTGGTGGTTAATTGGAGACAAGGAGATAAGAGTCTTATGGAGTTTTCTATACAGGCTAGCTTCAAACTTTGATTCTTGGATATCAGCTTTGGAGCACCCAGGATTACAGATGTGAGCCGCTGCATCTGGTTGTTTGTTTGTTTTTATTGTAAAGGTGATATACAGAGGGGTTACAGTTACATCAGGGAATGAGTACATTTCCTTTTGAACAATGTCACCCTCTCCCTCATTTTCTCTCAATTTTATCCCCTTCCAACCACCTCACCCCACACGGTGTAGTTTATTTCAAACATAGTGTCTAGTGAGTATCACTGCTGTATTAATTTGATTTTCAATAAGACAATTAAATCTGTTGTTATTACTGGCAAAGCAGCATCTCACCAATATCTACACACTCTTATGTTCCTCTAAGGTAGTAAAGCTCTACCACTGAAAATGAGGTCACCCATGGTAACAAAACCACAACTTGGGGGAGGAGGTGATATGCAGTGTACACAAATTTTCTTATGAACAATTTCTACTCCTTGATTCCATTTGAAACCAAACTACCATCATAATTAGTCTGAGTCAGTTTTGCCTTCTGAGGCAATGACAATATTGTCAATGGTCCAGAGAACAACATGAAAGCAAAATGTACACAAATGAAAACAAAATATGACAACAAAATCTGTATATTTACATATACATATAGAATATGTCTGAGTACCTCAATAGAAGCTATCAAGTATTTATGGGTAATCGAAGGGACAGTGGTGATATGGTAGAAACCTATATTTGATGAGAAATCTGTTTTAGAATTTCATTGAAGATCTGTTCTTTAAAGGAGGTGTTCCCAAACACATTGTTCATCAGCTAGCTTTCTGGTGAAGCATTTTGTGAGCTGCAGTATTGAAAATATTTGAACACTAGATGGCGCAATTGCAAAATTAGATTTAGGAATTGGTGTGAAGGTTGTGAAGGATGAAAGGCTGAAAACTCATTCTTCCCCTACCAGCAATTTTCTTAGCACCAAAGCTGCCGTGATGTTCCAAGAATAGAAATATTAGAGCTATGAATCAAGGTAAGAGAGGTCGAATGGGATTGCTATTTTATTCCTTTCCTGAAGAGATATGTTCGCTTTCTAGCATAGCATGATCGTATATAAGCACACAGTTAATTATATCCAAATGATAAACAAAAAGAATAACCAAATATGTATCTTCTTTTTCAATCAACAAAGGTTATTCAACTTTTTCTTAAAGGCTGAATTTAAAATTTTACAGCTTTCGATTTTAGGATTCATTATACATAGGCCACTTGGTAGGATAGAGACTTCTGCATGGTTAGGGTATTTTCCTTTTTGTTTTTGTCCTTTCCCTTTGAGAGGAAGCAATCAATCACTTCCAGACAAACTGCAGCATGTTTTGTCTCTGTGCTGATTCACCTCAAAAGGCTCATGGTCAATCTTCCCCTTTTGCTGATAGGCTACCTCCAGCAAAGAGAAGCTGGGTGCTTCTCTGAGATATCTCTTTCTCTACAAAATAGCAGCACTCCAAATCTAGCTCTCTCTGATATTAAAAAATCTACTATTTTGCCTAATTGACAATCATTTAATATGTGAAAGCAATTAATTAGATACCAATATGTCTTGAATGTTCATTGTTCACCAAAGAATGGATCTTTTATATTTTTGACTCAGAGGAACATATCAGTCCTTACCAAATTGTAATAACTTATTGTGACAAAGATCAGTGCACACTAGAACATAAAAGTCCTTCACATGGCTCATAGAAACAACACAGTCTACACACCCTAGACTCTTACTGCAGTCAAATGAGTCAGCTTGGTTATGAACCCCTATAGGTGATGTCCTTGAGCAGGTCATGGCACTGATCCTTGAGATAATGAGGTACTTTTTCATCTTTCTTGGTAGCAGTTGCTAACGTATCGTTTATGCAGTCTCAAGTTTCTTTGTTCCAAAATTAAGATTATAAGCATGCACATTATGTGCCAGGGTAGCCAAAATGCAGATAGAGGTAGGCTCACAGGCCTTGGGTAAAAAGCTATTGGATCAGGAGTGCAAATACCCCATAACTGATCAGAATATGCACTTCATTTTTATCTTTTTTGGACTTGAACTTCACTTTAGAATCTGTTTCCTTGTATTCAGACCATTCTTTTTTTTTTGTCAAACAGTAGAAAATTACCAGATCCTTTCTACGATTGACCTGATGATCTATTCTCCTAGTTCACTTTTGGTCATTTTGGATGGCTATTTTGCTCACTCACAGAATATGTCCTGAGCATGTATGCTGTACACGCTTCACGCTATTTGCTAAGTAGGACAGTAATTAATAACATAGACTTTTGTCTCCCTTGGGCTTCTCATAGCTGACTTGTTATTAATAGTTTTTTTTATATCAGATCTCATTTTTCCTTTATTACTACACATTCTAATTGCTAAGTGCTTGCTAGTATGTGATATCATTTTTAAGAACATTCTCTGTCCTTTCTGGAAATTATCTGCACTATTTCTAATCCATGGGCCATATAAACCTCTTAGTAATCTGAATAGGGATAAAGAATCCACTCTTGTCTATTCTCTAACCCCACTCTTCCTTCCCTAATAAACATGGCTACACACACTGATACATCCAAATGCTACCATAATTACAAGTATACTATGACACAGACAAAACCCTTGCAATGTTTA